GGAGGGGTTATGACCCCTTTTCTAGGGGTCATGGAGACTCTAGGTAGGCTGAGAAACGCGGGTTCATATTTCTACTCAAAAAATACAACACTTGCTTTGGAGATTGCAGCCGGACGTATATACCGCTTGGAACAGTAAGGGCGAGCGCGAGGTCCTTTTTCCGAAGGGGTCCAGGATCTTGTTGCAGGGTCCTTGAGGAAACCGAAATCTACCTGTCTTCGATTTCGGATCGTCTGTTTTCGGGCGGCCTTGGGTTAGACCCGGATCCCGAAACGAAAGCGCGCTCTGCTGGCAGTGCCAAGGAGTAGGGCTGGAACCGTCTCGGCGTTCCCTGAAAGCACATAGACCACATAGATGACTTGCACTTCCCCCTGCATGTTGATCAATCCCAGAAGTAGAAGGCGACCACCTTTTGGGGCCACTGAAAAATGACCAAAAGGGAGACCAAACAGGTCATCTTAGAACGATTTTACCTCAGTGGTTCGTTGATCCCTTGCTAAAAGTGATTCCACTCTTAACGGGGCCCCGGACATACATCCTTAAGAGCACGGCAGGGGACCACCAAGTTGAATGAATCCACCAACACGTCGTTGATGGAAACTCATGGCCATTTGGGTGTGTTCTTTTTTAGGGGACCTCCAAAATGGGGGTTTTCCTTTGGTTTCCCTGTAAAAAAAGACAGACCCATTTAATGTTGCCTGCGGGAAAATCAAACAAACGCGGACCAGGGATGGCCAAGTTGCGGGCCGCTACTCTGTTGACACCGCCAACTGATGCTCAATGCGTTGGTGTGACCTGGGATCCTGCTTGTGTCTGCTCTCTGCCGTTTGGATTGTGGAGTCAGGGGTCAAGACAAACTGGCCATCCCCCCCTGACAGGTAAGCCTTTTACATCTCATCCGACGGTCTGCGCAAACCCCCCAAAACATGAAATACTTGGTTGACGGGAGCAAACAAAATCTAATCTTAGCAGCTAAGTGGGGATTTCAACCACTAAACCACAATAAGCAAAAATGTTTCCAATTTTTCCCAGCAACAACCATGATTAATGGAAAACCAAGTTGTTTCCAAAAGGTCTAAGGGGGCGATTCATTCGGTCACACCAAAGACCAGTCATGAACATCCCCCCATCCCAAACAACAAGAACCATGGAAAGAGAACAAGAAACCACGGAGATCGGAATGGCTCGGGTCTCGTAATCGAAAATTCCGAACCCAAAGAACCTGCGTGAGCTTGTGGTTTCCCCAGAGACGACTTGGCATACCTGGAGTCTCCTTCTGACCCTTAAAAAATGGTTGGTCACTACCCAAAATTAAGGGGTTGTGACCCCTTTTTCTAGGGGTCATGGAGACTCCAGGTAAGACTTAGGCCCAAGAAATCTGCACATGTTTCTCACAATAACCGCTCTGGTGGTACCAAAGCGGGCTGCCCATCGCGACCAGTTTGTAAATTTTAAGGGGTTCCCGTGGTATCACTTCAATGGCAACCTAAACCCCAGTGTCCAACCGATCTGCAACCTTGCCGAGGCTCGAGGAGCTGTTGGTGCCTGCAACGGTCGAAACGAGGTTTGTGAAAACGCGTCAACGGGTACAGGCCTGACAAATGAAGAACCGTATTGCAGTATGTTTACAAGCAGTGAAATGGTGTTGCCCACAACGATTCTGTGAAGGTCAGAATCCTCTCTTGAATTGGGATTCAAACCCTCAACCCTATGTTCAAATCAAGCTTCGCAATTCGGCAATTCGGCTATACACGTCGCAATGTCTTTCAACCTTGGAGACCTGGCAGATCCAGCCTTCTCGTCCAATTTTGGAGATGGGGCGGGCAACTGCCTTCAAATTGGGACAAGTCGGTCAGCACTCCGGGGGGTGGGGGAACCCTTTGACTAATCTAGGGCGAGCTTCCCCATTCTTTTCAGGGATCCTTCTTTCTAGAAAACCGCTAAAAACCCAGGGGAAATGGATCTGGTTTTGGTAAAGAACGATGGCTGAAAAGAATGAAAAGGAACCAACCCCTAGAAATGTTGGGGATAGTTCCTGGGTTCACTGGAGGGGGACACCCCCCCTGTTTTAATAATGCGTTTTGATTTTGTATTTTTATTGTTTAAAGTCTGAGGTGAACATTATGAGCTTTGCTGGGTTGGAATATCTAGAACTAAGGTAGACCTCCACTTACTGCTTGGTTCCTGAAGGCGAGCGCCTGACGCTTTTTGTCTTCGGCGTGCTTCCAACCATACCGTCCTTCGTTTCACGAGAGCAGGCTGTCTCCGGCTCATCGATCGAGCGGATTGGCCAAAAGAAATCACCAACCTAGGTTGCCACTTATGATCCAAACCCAAAAAGTGACATTGTAAAGTTTGTAAAGTCCGAAACGGCACTCAGAACATCAGAAACCCGAACCTGGAGTTCCATGACCCTTTGAAAATGGTGGGTCATTGCCCGAAGAATGAAGGGCTTGTAACCCCTTTTTCTGGGGGTCAGAAGGAAACTCTAGGTACCTGTCATGCAACTTGAGCCACCTTTGGCTTTCCCTTCAGCTTTGTTTGTCACGATTGTCCTGGTTGACAAGTTGATCTCTGGAGGATTCTCCTGGGAGTTTGTCATTGACGTTGGGCGAGTTTTCCCGAAATCCCCGGAGACGCTCACGACGTTCCGATCCGATGGCCTGGGGAAGCGCACAGGTCAGCCAGCTCCGGGGACCTCGGGTCCCACCGGCTGGCTTTTGCGAACGGACACTCTCTGAATTCCCCCAAAAAAAGAGAAAAACATGCGCGACAATACGGAAAAACAAAGAAGAAGAATAACCCCCCTCGCCAAAAAAAAAACATGTCCGCCAAGGGAAACGCGGGTTGGAAGGCGATGTTTAAAGCAACCCGGAGATTCCATTTGCGGATACGTCCTCTTGATAAAGCTGAGAAAACATGTCCAGTGATTGAGTGCCCCAAAAACCAAAAGGGGAAAATAAAAAACATGTTAAATTCAGCAAATGGAAGTTTTCTGGCCAAGAAGACCCCAAATGATTGGAGTCCTTTTCGTTGTCCGCAAAAAAAAAGCGCCAAACAAGCGTACAATCGATTAGATTCATTCAAACGTGTTGGGTGCATACACCAAAAACCATAAAGACAAATGGATTAACGTGCTGGCGTGAAAATGCAAGGTAGGCCAATCCTCCGAAATCCCTAGAAACCAAATACACAGGGGACCTTTCGACGTAGAGGCAAGGGATCAAGGATTGCATGTGAACTGCCTGAAGCCTTAGATTTGATGGGACTGCACTTGCCTCCACAGCTCTGCTTAGTCCTCAGAATAACAGGATTGAGGCCCTTCCTGAACTGCTTTTGTAAGAAATGGGTGTGGGTCAAAAACAGGAAGCAAGGACTAAAGCCTGCGGTTCGCTGCGACCTTCATTTTGACCCATACCCAGATACGGGAAAAGCTCCAACGGGTTCGGCGCAACTGAGGGGCGGGGATCTCATGGTGCGGGCCACGCCCAGGACACGCCCTCTACCTTTGAGTGGCGGGCTAAAGGGACTCCACACTTGGAAAATCCACATGATCAAAAGGTCAAATAAACATTGGATGACCATTTGGGAAACCCAGCAAAAAGACATCACTTTCCCACATGTGAAAAGTTACCCCATGCTCAAAACTGGGGGCCCTTCAAGGGAATCCCACATGGAGCCAGGGAGGCTGCTG